GAGAAATGTCCCGGGACTCTGGGCCTGCAGCAGGTTCGGGGCTTCGACGGCTCGTGTAGAGTTCCCCACGTGGCATGGGGCAATGGGGGGCAGCAGGGATTGACCCTCCCCTCTGGCAGGAGTGGTGAGTCCCAGTGTTTGCTTAGTTTCTTTTTCTTAAAAGGCCGCAGCTGGCCCGGGGTGGGGGGGGCACCCATGGGGGAATGAGGGGGGGGTCAGGGGGCTTGTGCAGAGCCCCTCATGCAGCATGGGGCAGTGGGGATTGCCCCCGGCCTGGCAGCACCCGGTGATCCAGGGCTTTTTTTTTTAACAAGTGCCGGAAGCTCGGGCAGCCATTGCCAGGCTGGAAGAGGGGCAGGGGATGGGCCTGGTTGATTCAGAGAGTCAGAGATTCAGCAGCAACCGAATCGAATCACTGTCCCCCGAATCAGCCGAATTTGAATCCAAAGCGAATACTAGCCACTTTGCATAGGCCTAATATTTATCAGTTAATAATGGACTTTTCTATATTTTGTTAAAGTAATTGCTGTTTCTTGGACCTACAGTGTATGGTAGTTCCATTACCTATGCCCTCTGGCTCGTCCAATCTTCTTCTAGGGTCTCCGAGGTCAGCCCTTCCACATCCAAGGTCTTTCATACTCTTAGAATAAAACTCTCTCTACCCTCTAGGGATTCAGGTCTAGGAATCTTCCCTCACCTGCAAAGAAACCCCTCCCCAAACCTGATCCACCAGAAGCTGAAACCCTTTCATGTATCTAACCCATGTACTGAGTTTCCAAAATTCTCCACCAGCCTTTAATAGTAAAAGGATAATATTCCATGACCACCCTATTCGTCTTGGTCTGGCTGAGCTATAGAGATCATTTCAGATGACACGTGAAGGTACCTGTTTCACAAGGTTTGTCAGGTTGCCTTGTGCAACATCACTAGTTCTTACTAGTCTAGGAATGAGAGACCAGGGCTGGGAAAAGAATCTTCTGCTTTTTTGGCTTACTAACTTTATACTGTTGTGAATTATTTTCTCTGTGTCTTAACATGTTTTATGTTACAATACCGGAATGTGACTAAGTAAAATTAAAAGTTAACATTACATCAGTCATTAATTCCCTGGAAATAGGCTTTTGCAGCAATCACTGGTAGAATCCCACAGATTAGAGAGAAAATTCCACCTGGGTGTTATCAAAATTCCTTAATAAATATCTGACATTTATTGCCATACTTTCAATCAGTAATTATTTGTTAACTAAACATTTCTCTTGACAGTTTTGTTAAAAAGCCTATCTACAATGAATATATAAGACTCTCAATCAATTAACCAGTTTATAGAGATGACTAGTAATCTCTCTTTCTCTCAACATTTAGGTAAAACAACAAACTTCTTTCAATTTGCAAATGTATTAGATTTGTCTCAAATTAAGGTAGCACTTGTGCACAGACAGTTGGATGCAACTTCACTGAATCAACAAACTTGGATACCGCTTTATTTTAATCATACCTCAAAACACATTTCCAACATTTAACATTAATGGACAGAAGAAAGATATTAAAGGAGTATTACACCATTTAAAATCTGATTACCACATGGTGCATTTTGTATCTGAACTATGTTGTTTGTTTAATGTAGGGCATGCATCAGCTCCTAGTCACACTCATGGAAGCATGATCAAACCCTTAGATTATAAAATTCTACCATATCGCAATTAGCAACATCCCTTACCTCTTTCCTGGTCTTTCTAAGTTAACCTCTTTAAATGTCTGGCTTCATGTTTTTAGCTACTCCAGCATGAATTCCATATTTTTTCCACTCTTAGACCAAGCCTGGACTGTACCCTATCAACTGTTCTTGTTTAGCAGGTGCAACTGGGTTTGCTCATTCTTCTGCTGGGAGTCTGTGACCAGCAGACCAGTGCATTTATTTGTAATAATTATTTATTTTAGCAGTTGGACCAGTGCATTAGGAACAAAAAGATTTTGAAACAACACAACTACATACATTTATCTTACCTAAAATGTTATTGATGGCAAGGTTGGCAGAAATAGTTTCTTCCAATGGCTGCAGTGAATATGTGTCTCAGTCTGGTTCCTTCACAGATCTCCCTACTTTAAGAGAAAGTGACCCTTTCTAACCTAATGTAGTCCTTTTGGTCATCTTGTTCTCCCAAGTCTTTTCTTGTCTTGGCATTTTCTTTTAACAGCCTTCAAGTATTTGTGGAGAAATGAGTCCTTCTTTGACCAGCCTGCTTTTCCTTACAGATCTCCTATTATGCCAGTCTGATTCTTCTTTTAAACCGCACCAGGATATTAGTAAATAAATGTCCTAATAACACAGTGAACATACAGTACTCTTAATTTATTACAGAATACTTCCATTTGCAACAGAGGCAACAACACCTTTGTGCGTGTTTTATGTGGCGCTAAGTTCACTGTTAGTATATAACAAGAAATAGTTCTTTAAATAATAAACCCTTCAATGAAGCAATTGTCTCCTCTTCATTCATACTCTGCTGAGCAAAATGGGGACTCAGTCCTAACTGGCATTGTCTAAGTTTTCGTGTAATATAAACTTATTTACAGCTAATAGTAATGTTCAAAGGCATATTACTTATCCCCTTCAAAGATGCATAGTCTGAGGACTGCTTTCAACTGAAGCTCTGCAGAACAGAGATCAGATGACTGAGGCCTTGTGCAGCTGGGTTTCATGTAGATGTCTGAAGTGCTTTAGAAAACAAGATCTGGTTCAAGCTGTTTCTCCTCTTGCAGCATTATTGCTACAGATAAGCGTACAGTCTCCTTCTCTCTCCTTTGGATAAACAACGGGGGGGGGTTGAGTAATCCTGAATCTTGTTCCTTCCTGTTAGTAATATTGAAATAAACAAGCAGCAAGGGTTTCTTCTATTGGACCAACTGTATCTGAGATTTTACAAGTAATCCATTTGCTGTTGATTTCATGGTAGCTCCATGAGTCTGAACTAACTGTTGTCACAACCATACAGTAACCATACAGACATAATGGGTATGTCTTTACTGCAGATTTAACCTGAGTAAGCTTAACTCAAGTGAGAGCCACCTCGGTTCAAAATACATTGATATTCTGTATCTATGCTACCAAAGCAGTCTCATGTGTGGGACTAAGATTTCCATGAGTCAGTACTATGGTTTTTAGCCCTATAACATGAACTATTCTGTAAATTATTTTGAAAACTTGTCTGTCATTTCTAGATGCATGGGAAGGGAAATTATCGGAAAAACACTGGAGACTAATGACACTCAAGCGGCACTATCTAGCCTATTCCCTCCTCTTAGGCTAGCCAGCTCAAGTCAGGAGTATTAGAGCATTTGAGTTAAGGGCTTTTCTGTATAGAGAGGGAATTCAGGCTGGGGCTTCAATCAAGTTATAAATCATGTTAACTTTGTATTGAAAGCAAGCCCAAAGAGCTTGCAGTCTAAGACTGTTAACAAATGGATTTACAGTTCATTGAAATGGATTTGCTGATACTGTTATATCTGCAGTGCAGAAAAGAACATTAAGGCTAACATATCTTTGTACTTTGGGAGAAAAACGGCTCCACCAACTTATCTAGTTTTAAAATGGTTGTGAGAGAAATTGTCTGATCAGGCTCCCAATCCGGTAAGGGAACACCTGCAGACTCTCTTAACCCGAACAGGGCTCGTTTCCCAGCTGAGACTCGAATAAGCAGGAGACGAGGGTGTGGTCTTTTCAGTTTATTCAGCCGAAGGTCCCCTGTCCTCGTAAGGGCAGAGAGACCCCGACTGCAACTCAACACATATATTTTATAAACTCTGGTTACATAAGCTCCTTCATAAGGCATGCGCAAAACTCAGCGGAAATTTACCAAGATGGCTTGGCTTTGCTCACCCCACATGGTTGGGCCCAATCACTTTGCTTGCCCGCCTATATTGACAGACCATGGCAATCTTACTGCAAGGTTGCATCAGCCAGCAGTGACCAAAGGTCATACAAAGGTCACATTAATTTCCAACAATATTTTTCTAACATGGTCCACTGGTGATGTTTCTACCTTCCATTTACTATTTAGTTTAGTGCTATAATAAGCAGGTCTCAGCAAGGGGTTGTTGAAAAGTAAACTTCCTGTAAATAAGAACATGGCCTGTGGGAGCAGAGCGACAGACACAACCTTGCTACACTTCTTGTGCCTTAGACTCATACCTGCCATTAAAACGGAAGTGCAGGCAAAACAAAATTAAAATAAAACAGGGAAAGTCTCTCCTGCAGTTCCAGATTTGTGATTCTTCTCCTCCCACCATTCCTCTATTCATATTTATGCAGATTTCTGTCTTCCTTGGGCACTGTTCAGTCTGGTATGGCAAATTGTGGTACAGGAATTGCATTACAAAAAATAAAATGTTAATGATGATGATTAAGGTTTTTCCTGGGATTCCCATGTGCACTCTTATTGTCACTGCTGCCATCATTCAACTGCAGCAGTCTCCATTCTGTGTGCACTGATGCTGTTGCAACTGAAGTAGGTGGAATATTAAATTGAAGACTGCTTTTCTTGAAGTGAGCGCAGATTGCTCTTCCTACATAAAATCATCTTAGTAGAAAGAAACCGTATGATCCCAAAAGCCCGGAGGAAGAATTTGTCTGAGACATCAAAAGATGACTGTTCATTTCATCTCTCTTTAACAATAGCAAACTGAAGTGGGTGACCACATAAATATTTTATATTTCAAGGTACCTCAGCTTTTAAGGAGTTGTATGGTAGTTTGTGTGACTCAGAAGTAATTAATTCTTAATGGAAAAGATCAATTCACACTAGAAGAACGTGTCATCAACATATCGCTGAGGATCTGAGAGGGTCACACTCCTGAAGGCATTCAGAGACCAATTAATACTCAAATTCCTCTGAGGCTATTCATTTCAACAAAGCCATGACAAGGATAGCTAAAACACTAGGGCCTGTTTTCACTGTAGAAAACATTTTGATAGGAGCCCCAATTAACACACAGCTCACTCTAGCATGGCTAAACATTATAATGATTTTATTTATTTCATGTTTGTGCATGACACCATAGCTGTGCATGTTTCTGTCTTGCAATGCTGATAGGAACTGCAGATCTCCCACAAGGGTAAAATACCATTGTTGTTATCATTACTTAACTTTTATGGATTATAGGATTCCTCTTCAAGATCATGCTTTGTGAGAGGGTGGTTAAGCACTGGAACAGAATACCAAGAGGCTGTGGAATCTGTGTCACTGAAAGCTTGTACATGCAGGTTAGACAAACATTTATCCAGTGCAGGCAGGGTTGATCTGCCTTGATCAGGCAGTTAGACTAGATGGCCTCCAAGGGTCCCTTCCTGCCCTTGCTGAGTTCTGATTACCTTAGATCAGGGAACAAATTTAGTTCTTTAATCATGGTTTAGTTTGGAGACTATAGAGAAAATTCATGGAATAACCCTATTGGAGAAAAGCCAAGTTGTAGCTAGGTTTTCCAAAATGGTACATCAATATAGCCATAAATCCTGATACTGGATCAAAGCCCATGTATAGAATGACCCACAGTATCACTTAATAAACTTAATTTTTATATTATAGCATCATGCTTATAAAGTATTGTAAAAGAGGTAGAAAACAGAGATACTCCTTTACAGAATTGACAGAAATGCATATAATTTTGGCAGAAAATGTGGAAGTAGAGTCCAAATCTTTCCCCTTATTATGGAGACACCATTAGGTCCCTTTCACATTTTAATGGTACAATACACTTAGTTGTAGTGCAGACGAGGCTTAAACAAAGCAAAATTGATTTAAACCAAAATAAGAGTGCCTACATGCAGTCTTACACCCAAATAGTATAGGTGTGAATTGCAACTTGTTTCATTATTTTGTTATCTATTTGTATATGGACAAGTCCATTGTAAAAAAAAAGGCAAGGGTTTTGATGTAGTCAGACAACTTGAGGAGTTGGTGCCGTTAGGCATAGGCATATCCTGGCTGATAGATGGATTTCTGCTGCTCAGGAAATAAAGGTTATATTGGATCCTTGGGCTGTGACCAGATATTTTTATATGTAAAAGAAGTTTGGTTTGAGGGATATAGGAAAGTTCAGTTTAATTCTCTTTATGAATAAATCAGGTATTATATCTGTAGCAGTTTGGAATTGCATGTGTCATACTTAATATTTTTAGACAACATTTATTATTAGGGTATGTGAGAAACTATAAGTAGCAAGACTTCCAAAAGGTATGTAAAAGCCTAAAGCAGTATTCTCAACCATTTTAGCTTGAAGGCGTCCTCCCAACACTTTTTGGAATTTAGAAACACCCTCGTTGAGAATTACTGAGCTAGAATCTAGCTGGGTCCTGGTGAGGGAGGCGGGAACCGCCACCGTGCCCTGCTTTCTCTACCATCTGTCCCCTCCTTGCCCCCGATCTGTACCTGAAGGGGCAAATGCATGTCTGCTGCCACAGCTGCTCCTCCAGCAACTCACGTACCAGCTACTGGAGCCACATGTACCTATGACCCCTCTTGTTAGCCCTTGGAGCATGGGAGGCATGGAGTGGGAAGAAACAAGCCAGACTGAAAGGGGCCCCACAGCTGCCCACCTGCCTGTGCACATGGTAAAGCATGCTTCTGGGAGCACTGGTGCTATGCGGGATGGGGGTGGGGGGGAAGGAGGTGAGAAGCAGTCATGGATGCTGCTTGTCTGTGGGATTCTGGAGCTTCTGGCAAGAGGTAAGCAACTGCTTACTTCCTGGCATAGTGGCCAGGCACCGTGGCACCCTTGGAAGGACCTTGCAACAACCCAGGGTACCTGGGTACTTTTGAGATGTACTGGCCTAGAGTAAGGAAGAGGTTTTCCGTCTATATGTATTTTTGAGTTCTGATAATATAATACAAAACAGATATGGTGCAAGCTGTTTGCTTTTTGCACTGATTTTTACATATACTGCTCCTTGGACCAACAAAAATGTGAAAAAATGCAGCTACCTCATATGCATTTAGCAAAACAGTTAAGTCTCATGCACACTCTCATAGTTGTGTATACACATATGGGTTCCATATATGTCATTGAAGACCTGTTGCATTTCATAGCATGGATTGTAGAAATGTATCATGTTGACTTATTGAATAATTTCCTGCAATATAACAATCGAGAAATAAGTAACATTTTGTGTGTAGGTGAATAATCTAACACTATAGATGTACCACCTATAGTACATCAGTCAGATCTGCTCTTTCCATATTAATAGCATATTCAAAAGAATTTTTACTCTGCAATTGACAATTCATTTAAAAAAAATGTCTCCCATCTCTTTAAATGACAGTCCATATTTTGATGTTTATATTTGCCATCTGGAGATATTAGCTTTGTTTTACAGTAGAATTATGAGAAAATGAAAATTAAATATAAAAAGATTAAAATATTTT